GGTTTATGTGATGGGATTTTCTTTATTTATCTCAATTTTTCCGTATGTGTTTGTGTTTGTTTCCAGAACGCGTGAAGAAAGAGAAAAAAAAGGAAAAGAAAAAGAAACGGTTCTTTTTGCTTTGAACAGTTCCCACCCGACTTTTAGTTCCTCCTGCTGCTCGCAATACCACAGTAAAACAAAGGACATGTAATTACATTTAAATGGAGGTGGCTGTAAGAATGAATTGCCCTCATCTTTTTTCTTTGTGGCCCTAGCAGATATGATTAAAACTATTCCTTCTCATAAAACACATCTATCAGTTGTGGCTTCGCGGCCCCAAACACGCAGAAGTATGAGGGCCACAGTCCTGTAGACTTTATACACCGAGTCTTCCTGAAGCGTTCCGCTACATTCCTGAAAATGCCAGACTTCCCTCAATGGTTCGGGTCAAATGGCGAAGACAAAAGCCACACTCTCATAATAATTCAGCATCAGGATTGTTTATGATTTCAAATTGGAGCAATTTTTTCTGAGTAGTTTTTTTTTTCTTTTTTAAGGGATCCCTCAATGAATTCGCCAAGAAACGTGATTTATTTCGAAAAAATCATAGTCTACAAAATATGTTGTAGGGACTGATTGTTAAACGTCGGTTAAACAAAAAAAAAATGTAGAGAAGATAGAAGAGGAATTTGAAATGTCTTATCTATTCGATCATAGTTTTCTTTAAACTCAACTCAGTTATAGCTACTGACAAAGAGGAAAGGCAAAAGTCGACTTTTCTTTTCCCATCCCAAATTAGACTACTTTTAACCCAATTTTTGTATATTTCCTGCCTCTCTTTTTCTGTCTTTTTAAATTATTCTTACTGGCTCTACAGCAGATATTACATTTTCTTATATTCATTTTCTCCCAACCTGAAATGTGTCACTCCATCCCCCATCCCAATGGCGTTTTACACCATAGGCCTACTTATTTTTTCCCCACCAAGGTATTGAGAGTCAAATGGACTTAAGGCCAGTCGTCCAGCCCCTACAGACTGTGTGCACCTGTATGGCTGAGTGAGCGCAGCTCAGGATGGAAAATGCCTTGTTTTAGCTCTGGGCCGCTCCTGCGCCCATCTGTTTCCAATTAGGAACTCACAGACAAAAATTCTGTCTACCTTTCTATACGGCCAGCCGAGGGAAATGCAGAAAGTCCAACACTTGTCTCTCAGAGGAAAAAAAAACAAAAAAACACGCAGCTTTCTATAGTTGCAAAATTTATATTTAAAGTCAATGATTTTTTGTGTGTAAATTAAGTAATCCAGTTGTTGTTTTGGTGTAGGAAAAAAAAAATACTGAGACCTAAATAAGGTTGACCAATTACGGTGGGGTTGTCTAGTATTTCATATTAAAAGAAAACCAAGTCCTTCTGGAGGGATAATGGAGTAGTGAAAACCCAGACCAGCAGGAAACGGTCGACCTGTGAATAACCCCGCAGGCTGAGAAAGGAACAGACCTACCTTCAAGACCGTTACACAAAACCTGCTTTTCTGCAGCTGAAGCCCCGCGGGTTTCAAACTATAAGAAGTTTAACGCCAGCAAATGAATGTTTCAGTTATAGCACAGTAGAAAGTATAGTCATTTATTGCCAACCTGAATATGAAGCGTATGGATTTAAACCAGAGCTGCCTCGCCTAATGGAAATATAATGGACTGCTTATTTACACATACCGCCACATAACCAAACCAAACAAATCATCTGATATTGTAATATCATCCTTTGGATTTAGTTCTTCACAAAAACTATAAGAAAATCCGACTGTTTAGGCTTTGACAATTATCCAGAGTGCTGTTTTATTGTTGATAAAAATCTGCAGGAAATTAAGGTGTTTTAAAATGTGTCTGGTGTATTATTTTCACGAGCAGTCAATGCGTTTCGAACTATGGATTTAATGCGTGCACTTCAAAATAAGGAAGTCTAAATAAGTATTTTTTTCTTATTATAAGTGCATTTTTTCCTGAATTGAGGAGGAAAGGGAGACACTTTGCCAATGAAACAAGACAATTTACATAAAAAAAAAAAAAAAACACAATTGCAAGTGCATATCAACTAATTATCTTTTTCTAAGAGTAAAAATACTCATTCCATTGGCAAATTCTCTTATTTACCTGCTCATATTAAGGTTAAAAAAACCAAATGTAAGATATGTTTACCTATTTCTAGATTGTTTTTGCAGTGTGTATTCAATACATTGTTATAGGGTTATTTAAATATATAAAGAGAAATAAAAAATCATATAGATCTGGCCGGCTTCAACAAGCCGCGCTCCTTCTGATAGCAGTGAGAGGTGTATTATCTTAATAAATTAACTCGATTTAATCAACAATGTAAAAAAAAAAAAGAAGAAGCATAAAAACAACAAAACAAAAAAATAAAATAAAAACATCAACAGATAAATGTTAGGGCAATGAAAAAAATTTGCAGAAAACACACAAGGGCATGAAGTCCAAGGAGGAGGGAATTGATTTTCAGAGCTGGGTAAGAAGAACAAACTTGAACTCTGCTTCACTTCAAAGCAGTTCGGCTCCTGCGCTATTTGAGCCACAGTAGCAGTTGTCTGTGTCTTTTGCGGGTCCCATCTCATTTTATAGTGCAAGGCGACCACTGGACCGTGTAAACGTCAACAGCAGACCACTTATAGACTACTGCTGTGTGTGATTGGTCCGCTACTGCACCGACAAAACAGTTTGATAGAATAAAAGCTTGTCTCAAGTTTTGAACATATTTTATTAAGTTGGCTTCAAATTGATATTTCAAATATATATATAAATATATACAAGTTAAAATGCAACCAATTTTTACTTACTCTAAATTAGTAATTTGATAATTTTAGACATTTTGTTCCTTTGACTTTCATGTCAATACAAATAAAACATATTTGTTGTAGGCGTCATACACCTTTCAAGTTCATTTAAATTGTGGGACTTCAATATCCAGAAGAGATATGTTGTTCATTTAATATCATGGTGCAGAAATGCTGATAGATCTTTCTAAATCTGTTTTCTACAAAAAAAAAAAAGAAAAAACAAAAAGAAAAAAAATCCTTAGTGTCAGACAAGCCAGAGTGATATTTCTGAAATTAAATAGAAAAGGTTAATGAGATGACAATTTGATTGAAAATTTTTTTAAATCTAATTTGAAAAAAAAAAAAAGAATCATACAAGATCAATACTGCAGCTTATCTCCTTCAAGTTAACGAACAAAGTTTTAAGGGCTTTTATAAATCTCCTATTAAATGATTATTTTATAGATTCCGGAGAACTTCTTTAAATAAAACAAAGACAACAGCTGGAGAACAAAAATTTCTCATAGGAGTATGTGATTTTATTGCATTGTTAATTGTTCACAAAAATAGATATTTGCATGGATAAGCCAATAGAGTAATATATCAGATAACATTTTAACTGTTGATAAAATGGTCATTAGATCATGAACTTGTCAGACTCAGAGCTACGAAACCTAATCACATAATCAGTAATATAATATTTAGTGAGGATAAGCATGGTTCTTTCCTCCATTTTGGTCTCAGTGTATCCTGTTTTTACCGCACTGCGGACAGACTTGGTATGATATTTTAAGTCAAATAAGGTTCAGGGGAGTGTTTTAACTTAAACCATATCACATAAAGTACTCCCGGAACTTCATTAAAATTAATTCCATTTACTCTATAAAAGCATATGCTATGCTGTATATATATATATATATATATATATATATATATATATATATATATATATATATATATATATATATATATATATATATATATATATATATATATATATATATATATTTTTTTTTTATATATACATATTTTGTATTTAATTTATATATTTAATCTATCTTTTTATAACACATTTTAGCACCCGTTATTTAATGATATTATGACATTTCTTTGCATGAAGAAGTGTGAATTAAGACCTGACCTAAACCTCAACTAGTTAACATTTTCAGTGTTTGTAAAGACTTTAAGTGTAGGTTAATCACAGGCATATATTTGGCCATTAAACTGGCACTTCTTCTTCAGGATATCGTTTATGCTCTGATGGAATTCTCAATCAAGAATTCAGTAATGTATTGTTGAACAACAAGTCTGACTGCAAGGAAGGGAAATATGTAGGCAACGCCAAAAAATTAAGAACAATAGTTCCCTCTATTCAATTGAAATAGTGTTGTAATAGCATAAAAAAAACCAACAAAAAAAACACTTTTAAAGTTTAGAACATTAAAAAAAGAGGGGATGTACATTTACAAACTTGGATGCCAGCTATATTATATATATATTATATGAATATATATATTTTTTCAATTATCAATATTAATATGGTTATTTTATAAATGCTGCACAAAAGCAAACAAACAAAAAAAATAAGACCAGATATTTAAACCAAATTTAGCTACTTTAGAAAAGCCGGTGGAAAACGCACAGTATCCAACACTGCACCCCGAACCAACCTCCATCCATCCATTCATTTTCCATCACGCTTACTCCTGCTGGGGTCATGAGGGGAGCTGGTGCCTATCTCCAGCTGTCAATGGGCGAGAGGCGGGTACACCCTGGACAGGTCGCCAGTACATTACAGGGCAACACAAAGACAAACTGGACAAACAACCACTCACACACACGCAGTAACACCTAAGGAGAATTTAGAGAAGTCAGTTAACCTAACAGTCATGTTTTTGCACTGTGGGAGGAAGTCGGAGTAGCAGGAGAGAACCCAAGCATGCACAGGGAGAATATGCAAACTCCATGCAGAAAGACCCCGATCCGGGAATCTAAACCGGACTTGAACCAGTACTACCCACTGCTCCTGTGCTGACCCCGAACCAACCTATGGGTTACAAATGAATAATCCAATAAGATGTAAAATCGAGACATATCCAGCAGCCAAAATCTGAATCTTACTGGGTTGCATTGCCTGAACATATGAGCTCCAATTGGTGTTTATGCACCAAGTCTGATGGCGCTCAAAATCTTTTTATTTTTTTTAACTGAAAGATAGGACAGAAGAGGGTCATGAAAAGCAAAAAAAGTTAAGTAGTACTTGCAGAAAACCAAGACAGTGCGTGTTGTAAAAAATGAATGCTTGCTAAAAGGCTTAAAAGCTTTTCAGATAAGAAAGCCAACTTATCTCCAAGTGAGATGAATCTACAAATGGGCTGTTCATGAGCTTCTTAGGAGGTGTGCAGGTGTGAGGTTGTTTCCGTGAGTCGGGAAACAGCCAGATGGCATTTGTGTGTGATGGCAAGCAGCAGTGATTTACAGCAGTGGTTCCTTTCACAGATCAGCACTTATATCTCTGTTCCATCTCCAGGCTCTCTGCTCATATAAACATCCCCAGTCCATGGGCCTCTGATGTTTCTGCCTTTGTGTTTACAGTGAGAAGTCAAGCAAATATCTGAACTTTTGGACAAAGAGATCAGGGATGAACAATAGAAAGAGAAGCTTACAGCTTGAATGAGTTCCAGAGAAACATTATACTTTTTGTGATGCAGGATTTATGATTTTATCAAAAGAAAAACATAGATTTTACGTATTTACCAAACAAAAACAGCTGACTCACATGCGTTCCTACTGAACATCTATGATCCTGTGTGTTAAATTTTACTTTGCCAGCAAAAAATCTTCTTTCATTCAAGTAAAAGCTTTATACATATAGCAGAAGAAAACATGTTCAATTACACTGATTCAGCAGAGCCATGGGCTGACCCAGATAGAAAAAGTCCCTCTTCAGCACTCAGTCCCTGCAGCAGCCGAAATGAATAGTTTAGGAATAAAAAAACCCCAAAAGGAAATACACATGGCGGCATGTTTACGCACTGTTCTGCCAGAAGTTTTTTTTTTTTTTTGCAATAAAGCAAATGAGATGTATCATTCACTTTTGAAAAAGACGCTTTGTCTGAAAATAATCTGGGTAAAATATAATCACGCACGTTTCCAATCAAACCAGAATCCTCTGCAGCGCGCTGTAACTTCAAACATCAAAGCAGGCTCAGAGCAATTGTCTACCACTTTGCTCCCTTTAAACTGCCTTTTTTTTAGCTTTCGAAAGAAGAAAAATCCCCCGTACATCAAAGAGGGAGACAGAGAAAGTCATTTAGCCTTATCTTAATTGAGCTGCAATTTTAATAATGATCTTACACATTGGGACCAAGGAGGAGCTGCTGGAGGAGAGGCCAGTTCACTCGTGCTCCACTACTCCACTCTGGCTGTCTAATCTCAGTTCCAGACATGTCACTGCCTTGTGATTTATGATGACCTAATGTTTTGTTTACTTCATGTTCAAAACAGGCGAGCAGTTTGCATGGGGCATGCACTATATGGAAACATGAAAGTGCTGGGGCAGCTTTGCGGGACTGCAATCCCCAGCCGTTTTACAGAAATAAACAGCTCTGTGCTGCAGCCACCTGGCAAAGCACCTCCTTCAGACTGAGGGCCAGGACTTCCAGCAGCTCAGAAGTTTATAAAAGTCGCAGACTACGAGTTTTAATTGGTTGGCATGATGCTGTAGGAGCTGCTGTCTTAAATTAACCTCTTAAAAACACACTGAGCCACTCTGTCTATGCATTTTGTCAATAATTGACTTGCCTCTGCCATGTGTGAGAACAAATGTTTGGGGCCTGACAACTGCTTGACAGTAAGGTCAAGAGTCCAGTAAGCCAGTTCACTTGAGTTGAGCTTCTGTTAGTGGTGTTCTGGCATTTAGCAAAGCAGTTGAAAGGGATTCAAACAGGACACGCTTCATGGAGGAAGTGTTGTTCCTCCAAAGGAAATTTTACACAATGGAAGCTTTATGTAAGTGACTTATGTGATATGATAATGTGAATGTATCATAATTCATTTTATTCAGAAGAGATATGTTGCTGTTACAGAATTTCGATATGTACATGTGAACTTTTTGCTTATGTTTCTTTCATTAGGCTCATCCTATACCTGGAAAGAGGCAAGAGCAGTTTTTTTTCTATTTTTGAAAGAACAGCAAAAAAACAAAACAAAAAACACCCAACAAACTATTTGTATGTCATCCAACCTTTCTGAATGCCATCAGTACTCAGCTGGTTCACAGGGTAATTTGCTGATATCACTGCTCCCTCTAATTGGAACAGAAAGTTGCTGCATTTCCATTAGAACTGTCTGGAAATTATACTAATTTCTGGCAACTGTAGTATTTCCATTACATAAGAGATGCAACAAAAATTGCATGTAAACAAATTAGATATATTTCAGCCACTTATCCCATCATGCTCATCATTGCAAACTAAATGTAAAAAAAAAAAGTCTCCCCATCAATTCAAATATGCCATGTCATTGTCCTCCAACTACTTCCGGTCTTTGCCTTTTTACAAGGCTGTAAGGTCCAGTTGATCACATGACTTGTGTGATGTGAAAAGTGTTTTTATTGCAGTTATGCAAAATATTAAGAATTCAGCGAGACTGAAAAACCACCTAATTGAAGTCTAAAAACTTTTTATTTACAAAAAATTAGTTTTTCGAAATTACAGTTTTTCCATTAAGCATTTTTTCCCGTAATTCAAATTTACACTATTTGATGTTTAATGGAAACACAGCTACTTACTTGGTTTTTAATGTGAATGTCCTTAAATGAGTCGCTGATTCATAGAAGTTTCAAACAATGTCTGATAACACATAAGGTGATGTTTAATCCTTTTGGTTGGAATTCCTGTATTTTTCCATTAGCCTAATGGTTCATTCATATGCATTAACGTGCATATGATTTGATTTGCTCCAAACTATATTATTATATTTGTCAACCTAATCAAAGTCAGTTGGATTAAATTGGATCCACTGTTTTTTTAGCCTTGCCGGCTGAGTATTTCCTCTGTCCACATCGACAGTGTTACCTACAGTAGTCCTCAATGGTTAAATGATAGAGAAGTTTTTCTTTCTCCAGAGAGATAACAAGTGTCCAACCAATTCAACAGAGCTTTAAGCTGAGTTAAGCATAAAAAAACACTATTACCATGCAAGCATGATTAATTGTTGTAAGATTTGTGAATTCATAAACTCAACGAAATGTTTCGGACCGTTGAAATTCAGTGAGGTGTATGATGTTAAAGCCTCAACCGGAGGTAGGAGACAAAACCAACTTGGCTGCACTGATTTCAGTTGAAATACCCTTTATTTCTTTTTGAAAACAAGCAGAAGGAAGTTATTTTTGCCTTTGTCGATTAGAAGATGGTTGCGCCCTCCCCCCCAACTGTTTTTGGTAAGATTTATATTTATCAGTTAAATCTGTGAAACAAATCAAGAGCGTGAAATGTCTCAGCTGCTACTGCTGCCATGATTGGCTAGAAACTAGACTTGGAAAGCAGGTACCCAATCAGCTAGAAGAATTGTACTGAATGTCCCTCCTGTGCATTGCAAGTCACCTCACAGTCCTACAACAGGCTGCACAACAAATAATGTATATTCTGCACAATAGAGGATCCCAGCAGAGGGCTAGCAGGATAGTGGGGGACCCATCTCACCCAACTCACTCTCTATTCACACCCATCCCATCAGGTTGAAGGTTCAGATCCATCATGACCAGAACCACCAGGTACCTGAACAGTTTTTTTCTCCTGGGCCACAACCATCTTAAATAAGGAAATTCAATTCAATTCAATTCAATTCGGTTTATTTATATAGCGCAAATTAACACCACATGTCATCTCAAAGCACTTTACAGTTCACCAGATCTTACAAGCTAGTTCCAAATTCCACCCTCCTACCACTTCTACATTCACTTGTTATTTAAACAGTTGCACTGGGATACAATGTCAGATTCCTGTGTACGCAATTTGTGCAAAAAAGCGATTTTTGATTCTGATTTAGATTATTTTTGCAAACATGTCGTACATGAGGATTTCTATATGGATATGTACAGAGTTCAATTGAAACTACAGGTATCAATCTGGCTTATGCCAAGTAATAAAAATTGTGCCTGTACTCTCAAAGCTTTTTTGGAAGGAGGTGATATGGTACACCAACACAAAGTAGTGCAGGATATGGCGGGATGAAAAAAAAAAACATTTTGTTTATTTTCTATTATTTTGTGCTGTTGCACAATTGACAGAATGGGGTTGGGGTTAATTTGCACTTTTTGATAGAATCCAGTGCAAGCAATTAAGTTAATTAGTCACTGAATGAAGCACACCATTCCCATAGTGAAACATTGTGGGGTACCACCTTTTACAGACTTTTCTTCAGCAAGGAAAAATGCTCTTATGTAATTGGAAGATGGATGGTGATAAATGCAAGGTAACTCTAGAAGAATTTCTCACAGCAAAAGATTTAAGACCAGTCAGATTTTAACCTTAAAAAGGAACTTGAATCTAAACATACCACATCACTGCACTTAAATTAAATTCTAATCTGTTAGAAAGACCAACTACATATCCATATTGGAATCCAATTTAAAAATCTGAGGTAAAACTTAAAAAGGAATTGTTTACAGATACAATCAAATCTGACTGAGCATAAGCTTTTTTTGCAAATAATTTAAATACATTGTTTTGCCTTCTAACATCTGCATGGATTTAACTTAGGTTGTTGTTGAATGTTAACTTATCTTGTAAAAATTAAAGAAAGCAAGGAAAAAGAATGTAAACCTTATGCATTAACCATACTTTAGCAATTATAATGGAAAATTTAGCTTATATTACATAAAGTAGCATTTTAAATTGATCTAAATCAAGAGTATAGCAACTATGTCTTCAAATTTTAGAATACCTTGTGAACCTTCTCGGTTTGAATGTATTGCATTTGTTTATAATATGACCAACAGGCCATGCCTACAGTTCAGGAGGATGGCCATGTCACTTGTGTAAATATTTTCCTTATTCCAGTCTGACCATCTAGAATTCAGTTTGAAAACCCCATCAGATAGGAATTTCCTCCTTCTCTACCAGCAGCCAGAGCTGACGGCTGCAACATTCTTATCTTATCAGCAACAGCAATCTGACGTTGCATCATGCCCAAACAGGGAGAAACAGTACTTTAATGAAAGTGGTACTCCTGCTTTGAACTTCTTTAAAGTTGTACAAATTAATAATTAAACCACTATGCAACTTCTAAGATTTGTAAACCTGAATGATTCTTAACTTTTTGCCAGCAAAGTATTGAAATAACAATAATTTCAACAAAACATGTCTAGCTGCCTTAAGTTTCTATACTTTTAATTGTCCTTTGTTGGTAGCTGCCAAAAGGGCAGAGAAACAAGATATGAACTCTGTCAAGGTCTGCAAAGGAAGCGCTGGCGAATCAGTCGTGCTGTCTATGTATGACAGCACTGCTGCCTGTAGAGTCTAGAACAATGGCCACAGATTCCCTCTGGTACGGGGAAAACCTTACTCAGTGGCAGGAAAGGAGATGATAAAACTAACAGGAAAATAAAAGAAAGTAATCAGTAAAATTAGCTTTACAGAGGCACATGTGGTCCTGCCTTGTCCAGATATATCAATTAAACCAGAGCTGGCCTAAGGCTGTAGGTGCCAAAAGCATAATCATAATTTTAGGCGCATTTATAATCCACTATTCTGTCAAGTTTTTGCTTGCTTGCATGCTTTAATTATTATTAGATTTTTATTTAGAATGAATGAATTGAGTTAAATTAATTCACATCATAATGGAGTTTGATAAGTCACTTTGCAAGTCTTAAATGGCCCTTTGGATAAAGGGTGGCACATTTGAATTAATATGTGGAGAAAGGGCTGTTTCCTTATCTCAGTTTATTGTTTTATTGTTTTGCCCTAGTACTTGTGTTCAGTACTTTAATACAAACCCAAAGAGTCGCAAAGGAAAGTTTAAATCATACAAGAAACCTTGGAATATACATCAAAAAGCCCCAAACAATAGAATGGCAATGGTGTGTTTTATTCAGTGACTAATTAACTAATGCTTGTAAACATTCATGAAAATGTATTTTCCTCCATACAGATTTTTGAATGTTCTACTTTTCATCTCATTAAAAATATTTTTCCAGAATTCTTATATGTATGTATATTTCAGATATATTAGGGTAGTACTTTCTCATAAGTACTACCCTTTGTGTGGTCAGCATGATTGACTTTGTAACATTAACATGGATATCTTATTATTCTTTTTTATTTTTACAATATGAACACTAACCTTGACTGTTTCAGAAGTTGTCCTTTTTTTCTGGACTCCTGGATGAGTTGTCAATGGGAGTATTTTTGGGGAATAATCCATTCTTAAGAAGGTTTTTTGGTTATTTGTGCCAATGAACTAACTGTGGTTCCCAATTTGAATTGTTGCTTTTTTTAAAACTTTTAATCCTACTTTATTTTATTACACAGGTTCTACTGTGAAAACATTCACGAGTCTACAGGTTTGAAAGTGGTCATACCTTGGAATGCTGCTGAAGCTGAACCAAAATACAGATGTCCAAGTACAGTTTTGGGGGCTCCTTCCATAATGAAATATATCTTCAACTGAAAGCTGCAAGCCTGTTCTTGTTTTGAATAACTTTGTATTTCAAAATTTTTCAAATGATGTAAAAAAATATACATTTGAACATCAAAGCAAGGAGTAAAACAAATTTTAAATACTTTCTTATGGCATTGGTTACTATTATAATATTGAACTGTCCTTTTTTAGAAGTAATATATCTGACAAATTCTTTAAATATATGGTAAAAGTACATTTGAAGTAATTTGAAATCCCTTTAAACTATTTTTTAATTCTTTAGCAGACTTCATGATATGCTCATTGGTAAACCCAATTTCAGATATGAAGCCTAAAGAAGATTCCTGAGAATCTCCTATACTTCTAGGGACTTTCATAAATGTATACTTTGTATCTGTAATCTTTTGTAATCTTAATCCTGCTAAGATCCATTTTTAGCTAAATGTTATGTCACACTCCATTCTATTCCAACCAGTCAAATTAACACATTGCTGTCACTGGTTTCCTTGCACAGCAAGAAACCTAATCCTTGGTCACCCAAATGCAAACTAAGGGCTTGAAACCCTACGAAAACAAACAAAGCTCTGAGACTTGTTAATGTAATGCTTTGACATAAATTATTCTGAAGGAAGCATTCTTGCTGCTAACATAAATACATTTGAGTCCCATGCTGGGAATTAAAAGCAATCAATAAAGCTGTATCTAGTGTAAATAATGCCCCCTGGTGCAGATGTAATGACGAAAGATCCAATTGCTCCTGTACAGAAAAGTGCTCAGGCTTTCCAGCTCTGCAAAACAGGGGGATTGTGTGGTTTGGAAAAAGACCAGAATCCCCTGAAATACTTTTTATAGTGATGGAAAATATGGACACATAATACATACAGATATGAGCCCTGAACAGGATGCAGTGAGTGCTGTGTTTAGCCCTCTCTAACTCACCAAAGGGAAAGAAACTCCTTGACTATGACATCGGTTCAGCAAAAGGGACACCATCTATCACTGATCACTGGGCATGGAGACATTCATAATATCCTGCCAGGAATATCTTGTGGAAAATAATCACTTGGTGTCTGATAACAACTATGCTTCTTCTTTTGGCCATCATTTTTACTAAAATCATCTGTAGCATTAACTTAGCATTTTTCCTATTTTAAAATTTTAATCTAAATTATGTTAAATAAACAAAATCATACTTTCCTGAATAAATTAAATCCACATGCTTAATTAAACAGAGGTCACATTTCTTCACTCAAAGTTAAGTCATTGGGATTAACAGTTTTTCAGGAGCTCTTTATTTAGATCAGTTAGTTTTGCTTTTCCTACCTAAGGAACGCAAAAAGTCTCCAGCCACCGAGTGAGGGACAAACTCTCACTTAATGTCCCTTTTGTTGTAAGGTGAGAGGTGATCTTTTGTAATATATCAAAAGAGCATGGACTGCAGCCAGGCCTGTCTGTGGGTCTTCCTATTTTGACACCCTAAAGCACCTGCCCTCACTCAAGCATGGCATGGAGCACAGAAAGAACAATAGAGGAAGGGGCTTTTTCGAACCACTCCTTACTGGTCGATCTTACTCTGACTGCTTGTCACTCAAACCCATTAAAGGTCAGCATAGCTTACTACCCTCAAACCCTCCCAGGAGGACACATCCTAATGGACCCTGCCAGTTTGACATTTACTTTTCACTTCCCCACCATCTCTCCTTTTACTATCATGGGTCATAATGGGGGGATATCCCAGAAGGAAATGCCTGAGGTCTGAAGGAGGTGCCTGGGCTTTGTATCTCCCCCTCATTGCATTTGGCATTGTCCTGGGTGTTATCACTCTTATGTAATGGAGTGCTGGGTGCTGATAACAGGATGTCAGAAGAAATCACACTGACTCACCCTCCATTATACCTGATTATTCTTTTGGAGCCCAAGTTTATAATTTATTATCTCACACAGAGGGTTTTTAAAACATGTTGAATGTCAACAAACTTTTTTGATAATCCATAATTTCCAATAAAAGCAAATGCATTAAAGAAACAATTTCAATTTATGTTTGTCACTAATAGTCTTAAATGGCTATTTCTTTTGAATCACTTCATATGGTACAAGTATCACCTTAGGAGAACAAACTTCATGTCAGATGAAATGCAAAAATATGATCTGAATTATTTACTTATTTGTTAATCATTGTTGAAGTGTTTTAGAGGCAACAAAAATTCAGAAATAATTTTCCCCTCAATAATTCACTCAAAGAATATAACAGAAATGGAGTGAAATGATAAAGAATTTTAAAATGTATATAGACTTATTTTTCCACCTTCTCACATAAGTTAAAGGCCGTATTTGTGTGGTATACGACTAAAGGCTGGTTTATACTCAGAAACCAGGTCGTCTGCGTGTGTGTCGCAGTGAACGCAAACGTGCCCCCCGCAGCTTCCGCAGACACTCTGGTGCACCTCTCCAAAATTTTAGGTGAACACAGACAGGAGGCCTCTGATTGGTCAAATCTGCATGCGTATTTCCTATTTGGTACCTAGCTTGTTTTGTTTGTATGACCGCCATTGTGGAAAACAAATTGTCAAGTTGGACCAGTTAGAAGAGGGAGGTGCACGAGAACGCTAGGGCCGTTTTTCCACCTTGATCCTCGCTCTTTTTCACCCTCTTGTCCCTCCGTTGTCGCACAAACTTGCCCGTTCCGCTTTTCCACTTCCTCACCGTCTTAACTGTATCTACACCCACAGCTAGTTTTTGATTGTCCCTCTTGCGTTGTGGCGTGAAATAACATAGCGCAGACCACACTTCATTATTAGGCATAAATCTAAAATATCTGCGACAAGCTCACTGCAACACTCTACTGTAGTAGTATAACCAGCCCTGTCCACAGATTTTCCATCCTGAGCTGATAGTCTCTACAGCTCTTGACAGAGGGGGAACCAGAGTTATCTAGGCTCTTTGTCATTTATATTTTCTTGCCCTAAAGTGTTAGATTTACCGTCATGTTCTGGTAGGCTTTCAGCTGTGCTTTCTATTTTACCTGATAGGAAAAATAGTTTAAGTGAGAGACTTTTTTTTCACAACTTTACCCTTAACTTGACCTTCCTGCTATGCTCTTTGGCCCTAAAGATGCCGTTTTTTTCACTACCAAACCTCCAAGGTTTTCGCTGAACAGCTGTTTTTTATGCTGTAATGAAATTAAACACAGAGGGACTCTGCTTACCAATTAACTTACAGTATTTTAGATCATGGGGAGATCTAAGTAAAGGGCTCTCAAAACAAAACCATGGCAGAAATTTAGATGTATTTGAATTTAAAAGTGTATTATATTGTGCAGATAAATGCTCATGTGATTAGTTGCCTCTGTATTTGCAAATGCACAGAGTTGTGTTTTTTTCCTAAATTAGCCATTGCATTCCAATGCATTGCTATTTGAAACACATGATTTCAAGTGTCTCTTTCTTTAACTGCATGCCTTCATTCAAATAAAATGAGAGAGAAAAGTGAGGGAATATTAATGCTCCTGAAGCACTGAAACCAAATGAAGGGCTTGTATAGTGATATTTATGCAGCACCTCGTTTGTCTCTTATGCTGTGAAGACAGACAAATCTCTTTTTTATGCCAATTCCATCAACAGGTTCAAGAGAGGGCCTGCTGCCATGGCGATGCAGACTCACCCCTACACTTCAAGTATAAGGAGTTACGTCTGACTGCCTGCCCACCTTATCCATCAAAACCAGAAATGAAAAGCCTTTATAGTAGCATTCTTCTGGCTGAAATGGGGTGTTACCCTGTGGGCAGCTGATGACATATATGAAACACATTCAACAAATACCTTCTACATATAGCCAACCTAGGATTGTCCTATGGTCAAAATATGCACCATACAAGCGTAACCTCAATCCGAAAACAAAAAGACGTGATAAGATCAGGAGATTTGCTTGGGGAAAAAAGTAAGAATCTTTTCTTATTTTGCTGCATTTTAAAGAATCCCTGTTCAGTCTATATTAAACCAATTTAACTTGCATAGGTGTTAAAAACGTTATACTAGAAAAAACGAAATGCTCTCATAGGAGATTTACTTGTGGTGGCACTATGACTTTCAGAGAAATATTGTAATTATGCTGTACAACCATAATCACTTTGAAATAATTGCAGTATCTACATTTTAGTTAAATGTCCACACTTGCCATTTTGATAAAGCTTTTATTATTCAGGATCAAAGAGGTTTTCTTTACTTGACCTTAACTTGTTTAATAAGATAAAAGCAACAAAGTCCTACTGGTTTTATCTAAAACTTTTTAGCAGAGTTGTAAAACATGTATATGAAGTATATGAGGAGCAGGTCGTCTGCCTCAACTATGGCGGCTGTCAGCTCTGGCTCGTGGTCCCTTTCTATGGGTCAGGGGTCATCCAGCTGTAACTCCCCCTCCGCCCCCTTCTCCTGAAATAGCAGATGTGGTTGGACCACCGTGGCGAGAGTCTAACCACATCTGGCTCTGATTACAGCCAGACAATCCAGCTTTATCAGCTCCATCCACTTTGCTGAGCTCTGCTGTGCTCCTTCTCACAGAGGTGATGTGTGACACATTCTCAACTCACCAATACTAGCTTTACAGGATGATTTATAGGAATTTAAATTACCAATAGGAGACTAAATGCTGCTGAAGTTACACACGACCATAAGTGACCAGCTAACAAGTTCTTTGTCTATTTGGGAAATCTTTATACTTTCTTGACCCTTATTTAACCTAAACCTCTTTTAAAAGAAAAGTCATAAATCCATGATTTTCAAACAAAACTATTGACAAATGACTTACTGATATAACACTGTCACTGAGGATCCCTGAGGAAGTGCCATCACTTAGTAACCAAGAGTTTGCCTGCAGTTGAACATGTCTGGTTAATTGACAAGCCATTGCCTTTATAAATTCCAACCTTTATTTGGATAATTTGTCTTATGTTTAGGGTCAGAAATATGTCACACTTGAAGATGAAATCCCAACATCCATAAACAAGGGAGTTTGAGAAAGGATTATGTTGCATACAGGGATGTC